TTTTTCTTTTCTATCACTTTAGTAGAGAGAGAGAGAGAGAGAGAGGAAAGAGAGAATTTGAATGCGAAAGGTGGATCAGGAAAGCTTATTAACAATTACAGTCGACACTTTTTGCAGAGATCAGTGATCCGGACAAAGAGTGTGGAATTCATGCCCTTTTATTTATCGTTATTTCTCACTCTCAGTGCCGTTACATGGTTCACTTATGGCCTCTGCTTGAAGGACTATTTTGTAGCCGTAAGTATTTCTCTTGTTTAATTCACTGCAGGGTAGTTTTGGTTTCAATTTTATTCCTTTCTTTGTTATGGGTTGACGGATTAGGGAATATGAGTTTACTTGGTTCCATTTGTTCGAGCTATTTTAACCGTGGAGAGAGAGACCGGACTTGGTCTCGGTTGATTGGACTTGGACCGATCCGAGTTGGAATTATACAATATATTGGAAGACCCAACCTTAGGTTCAAATGACAATTAATTGGACCCGGCTAGTCTGTCTGTTGGAGCCGGACCTGAGTTGCCGGTTATGGGGGTACCATTGGGTTGACCTAGCTTTATTTGCACCCTGAGAGATATGCCCTTTGCGATGGACAGAACGAGAAGGGTCTAGACCAGTGATTTAAATTTTGTACATTAATTTCTGATCCAGGTCGGGAATTGGTTGTCAAAAATACGAATCGGTCTAATTTTGATAGAATTCTATCATAGGACCGAGCAAGTCTATTAGGGAACCCGATGATCCAGATCACCCCATTTGCTCAGTTCCCACCATTTTTATTTTTTTGTTATTTCTAGTTTTTATTATTTTTTCCCAATTTTGTTTTCAAATTTTTAGGGACCAACTGTCACGGAAGAAATGGTCTGATGAATCCATATCACCATTTAGCCGATCCGAACCGTTTGGAAGGCCAGTTCTAATGGCCAATTCGGTTTTCTAAACGATAGTCTAGATTGTACAAAGAGTAAATATTGTTAAGTCTAGATTGTACAAAGAGTAAATATTGTTATGTTTGGTTACTTTTATAAAAAGAAACTTATGTCATGCAGGCTGGACCACATTTTTACAATATGCGGTCCAGAGATATAAAGCATCCATCTTAAAGATGGATGCAAATAGGTGGTTCATTTAAAAACAAATGTAGCCAACAGCTCAAAAATTTTCTTAATATAATTATTACTTTTAATTTTTTATTTTTATTTTTCATATTCATGAATTTGATTATATATTTTTTAAAAAATTAGGATCGAATTATATTTAAAAAATATATTTATTCTCAAGTCCGCATTTCTACAATATGCGGAGTGGCCGCATAGAAACCGGGTCCTTTATTTATTTATTTATAATGCCATCCAAATTTGGATATAGTACTGACTTTCGCTTTGATTGCTTTCACTGAACAGTTGCCAAACGTGCTAGGCTTCCTCTTCGGAATTATTCAAATGTTTCTTCATGCAAAATATGGTCATGCCAAGAATGTCATAGTGATTGATGAGAACCTTCCTGAGAAACACATTGACATTGTGAAGCTTGGGGCTCCCACGAATCCAGAGGTGCACCCAATTGTTTCACCACCACCGTCAGATGAGGGCACGTGTAAGCCATCGGAAGCAATCGCATGCGATGTATAGATTCCACGATGGTGCAACTTCATGAATATGCCAAGGATAATCTAAACCCTTCATGTCAGAAATTAGGATAATCTAAACCCTTGTATTTCTATGTTTAGTTTTGTTTTATCAGTGATGAAGCGTTTAATCAACAAAGAAGAGTCTATAGTATTTAATTATGTTACATTTACCCTTTGAATGAGAAAATTTAAGCTTGTCAAATGATTTACAATAGGAAAAAGTTTATATAGAGCCTAGGCTCTAAACAATCAAATTAGCGCGTACCTCAAAACTCTCACTAGAAGAGGTTGTTTTGATGCCCAAATATCAGAAAATTAATCATCTTGACATCAAGATACATGGACATGAGAAAAAAATGAAATTCAAGTTTTGGAAATAGTACATCTTATAACGCGTTTTTGGACTGTCAATTTTCAAGATTTTTAAGTTTTCATAAATTTGCTCGATCTACACTATTTTTGAAGCTTTAAATTTTATAACTAAAGATAAAAGTATAATTTAAGGCTAACACAAATCTTTCCAATATCGAAACCATATCTCTAGATACTATTTGAAGGTGGGCTCTAATTTGATAGTTTAGACTTTAGAGGCTCGGCTCTATACAAACCGTACCCTTTACAATATTGAATAAAGGAAAAAAGTTTATATAAGGCTGCAACATTAAAATGTCGAATTACAAACGCCCCTCAAAAATCCATCGCAGAAGGTTGTTTTAATGTTGAAAAACCCTCTAACTGATCATCTCAACATTGAGATGTTTGAATATAAAAAAAAAAAAAAAGATTTTGAGTACCAAAAATAGTGCATCTTGCAACACATTATCTAGATCGTCAACTTTCAAGATTTTCATATGTTCATAGATCTACTTGATTGTAACTATTTTTGGAGTCTAAAGTTTATAATTAGATGTCAAAATAGATTTTCATATAATCCTAAGAATTTTTTATACCAAACTTGCATGTTATCATAAAATTTGGAGGTGCGCCTTAATTGTGTTGTTTAAGGTTGCAACCTTATAGAAACGACACCCTTGAATAAAATGAATAACGTTTAGTTATTTACGAAAAACAATAGAAAGGAGCTGTAAAAGGATGACTCATAATCATCTAAATCTTTGGGTTATCCCTAATATTGTGGTCAATCTTGTTCAAATAGTTGTTATAATAAATATAAAGTTAAACCCATTCAAAATATTATTGTAACAACACAATCCATGTATATCCAAAAGTATGTATATCTTGTGTTATAAATATACAATCTCAGCTCACATGAAAGTTCAAGAAAGTGAGATAGAGATTTCTTCAAAATATTTAAGCTGCTCTATTATGAACATGTAAACTTTTGGCCATAACACTGTTTTTATAACATGGAGGCAATGATCACTCAGACGTGAGATTTGGTCGTTAAGGGTGTGCCACTGATTATATACAGTGTTCAAGAAATTATTTTTCGAGTTTTATGATATAGTATTATAGGCCTGATTTCGAGAATCTGATGGCTAGTATGCTGCCCTATGTGATATTCACATTTTCAAATGGCTGGAATTCCATTTCCATGCTTCTTTCCAAATTAGATCACCTAGAAAAAAAAACTCCATTTTGATTCGCAATACCAGTATTGCGATACTTTTTTGGCGATGATCATAGTTGTACATAGTGGTTAAAATCTATTTCCTTTTTCTTTGGCTTCAGTTTGGTTTTATAGCGTCATAAGTTATTATACTTTATTTTAGTGGCTTTTTTATTTTTTTATTTTTGGATGTTTTAAGAGTTAGCTTTTTGAAGGTATTATTGGGGTGGTGTAAGTGGTGAGAATGTAAATCACAACCTAATGACTTGGGTGTTAGGTTGTTAGGATTTAATAGCCGCCTTACATGAGCAAATAAAAGTTGTTACCACTCTTCATATACATAATGTTAGGATTTAATAGCCGCCTTACACGAGGCAACAAAAGGTGTTACCATTCATTCATGTACATAATGTTAGGATTTAGTAGCCCCTTAGAAAGGAATTTAGTAGCCCCCTTAGATGAGGAAACATAAATTTAAAATCTAAAAAATTGGATCCCATCAAGAATGTTTAATTATTTAACTAGAACAAAAATAGGCGAAAGTATGAGTCATAATATGAAAAATAAACTATGAAACACACACCATAAAAATAAAAAGATTTATACGGTTGACCCCAATAGGGCTATATCCAAAGTTAAACTACTCTCCAGGAACAGACCCATCTCGATTTCTTCTAAGCGAGAAGAGACTCATATCTATTCCACAACTAAACGAAAAACCAAGAATATAACTCGTGTTTCTCTCCGTCTAAATGAGAAGTGACCCATCTCTATTCCACAACTGAACGAGAAACCAATAATATAACTCATGTTTCTCCCCATAGGAAGCAGCAAGAAACCAACCTCCCATCTCTATTCCACAGCTAACTAAACGAGAAGAAACCCATCTCTATTCTACAACTAAACGATGAAGAAACCCATATGTATTCTACAAATAAACGAGAAACCACAAATAGAATTCGTGTTTCTCTCCATAAATATTTATTCCACAGCTAAACGAGAAGAGACCCATCTCTATTCTACAACTAAATGAGAAACCAATAATATAACTTGTATTTCTCTCCCTAGGAAGCAACAAGAAACTAGCCTCTCACCCTATATGAGGAGCCTCTCACCCTACGGCAGGCACCTCGTGGTATCGTGGTGTTTCTTTGCATAGGACTGAAAAGAGGCCGGCCTTGTCCTACCTTTTTCTCTAGATGAAGCCACCTTTCCATATATATAAGGTTAGGAGTTCACATTTAGCAGGAAACTTCCTATAGACGTTATATATATCTCAAGAACCAAGAGATATACCCAATAGTCATAATTTAATTGGATTTCTAATTCCTTTAAGAAGTTTATCACTATCAATCTCAATCTCACATATTATGGGATTTCCTTATATGGGTGATTTTGGATATTACCATATCCAACACACAATCTCCGCATGGCGCAAAACAATAAAAAATCATATGCCTCAAGTTCTATCCGTGGCAAGTTTTTATGGTTTCTGATCTAGCCCGCTCCGACTTAGGTCCCCACCGAGCAAAGTACTTGAGTGTAACTCAGTTGATTTAAAAAAAATATAAAAGCTTAAATATTTATATAAAAATATGGTATCAATGTATAAAAATAAGAAAAAAATCGTATAGAGCTGAGGTTTTAAACAATCAAATTAGAACTGACCTAAAAACTTTCACTAGAATAGGTTGTTTTGATGCCCAAATAGCCTAAAATTGATCATCTCGACATCAAGATGCATGGACATGAGAAAAAAAAAGATTTCAAGTAAAAAAAAATGGATTTCAAGTTTTGAAAATTGTACATCTTGTAATGCATTTTTGGGTCGTCAACTTCCAAGATTTTCAAGTTTTCATAGATATGCTCGATACACTATTTTGAAGCTTTAAAGTTTATAATTAAAGATGAAAATATGTTTTAAGGCTATCACAGATCTCTAGTATTGAAACCATATTTCTCGACACTATTTGAAGGTGCGCTTTACTTTGATTGTTTAGAGCCTCGATTTTAAAAGACCGCACACATAAAAATTACATATATAATTTGGATTTTTTTTACAATTGTGAGCATTCCTTGCCATAAGCCCTATTTTTATATTTTCTTATTTTAATTTTTTTAAAAAATGTCTTCAACCATAAAGAAACTTTGTCTAGAGGGTGTGGTTTGTATAAGGTTGAGGCCCTAAACAATGAAAATAAGGTGCAGCTTCAAATGGTGTCGTAAGATGTCGTTTCAGTATTGAAAATCTTGGTGATGGCTTGGAAATTGATTTTTATATCTAATTAAGATTTAAAGCTTAAAAAATAATGCAGATCAAGTAGATCTATAGGCACTTAAAAATTCCATATATTGAATTACAATATGCACTCTTTTTAAGACTCGAAATCCAGTTTTTTTTATATCCATGCATCTTGAGGTCAATACGATCAATTTGACGATTTTTTAGCATCGAAACGACATCTTCTAGTGAATTTTGAGGTGTATTTTAATTTGATTGTTTAGGGCCTCACCCTTATATACTTTTTTTTTTCATTTCTAAATCCAAGCTTTTTCTTCTTGTTTTTATTTTTTTTATTTTTTTTAGCTTTCTTTGACATTTTATGTTGACTTTGGTTTTATTTCATTCCTACAATTTTTATTATATTTTTAACAAAAATTTTGATTGTTTTTTTATTTTTAGGAACTTTTGACCCTGTCTACTAGTCACCCGTGTCCACTCAAGCTTTGTTGAGTCACATACTATGGGCTAGGCTAGAGTTAGACGCTCAATCTGAGTTTCAAAACACACACGTGCATACACACGCACAGAGATATATATATAATGATTATCTAAACTTCACAACCCGTCAAATTACAACGATTCAAGATAGAGAGTGCTGTGAAGGGTGGATTTATTAATTTTATAGTCTACTTTTTTAAAAAAGATACTTTTGTAAGGGTAATTTTGTAAATATTACTACAAGACAAAGGTTACTTTTGTCATCTCCATATGGGGTAAAGTTGAAATTTTAACTAAAGAACAAGGGCACTTTACAAATAAAGTTTCAAGATACTAACTTCCAAAATGCCATGGTTCTTTTGTGAAAATTTTAAACTTGCTCGTGTTTGATGATAAAGTTACCTATTTAAATAATTTTTTAATAAAAAAATAATGATTGTTTTGATAAATACACCCAATCACAACACTGTTAACTCTAAACAAACGCACATATATATATATGGACAATGAATGCATGGAACGATTGTATAGTAATATGATGCAACAATATTCAAAAACCATATTATGGCTATTTGTTTTGGGCAAGTTTTTTATGCTTTTCCTACAACATAAAGCTTATATACTTCCCCTTATGCAACCATCCATTCTGAATTGAGGGCTAAGATTGTCCCAATCGCAATGTCATATCTTTATACTATTTTATTTTTATTATTTTTTCTATGAACTATTTAACACCAAATTTGGACATCCAATCCTCTATTAAACTTGCACTAGCGACAAAATATAAAAAACGATTTTCAATAAAATAATATGACCAAAATACCCCTGAAAGATACAAGGGGTATTTTGATCATTGTATTTTATTGGAAAATTATTTTTAATATTTTTTTATAGGTGCGCCACAATGAGAAGATGGCACATACCAAATTTCATATTCATATAATTTGTATAAAAAAAAGCTAAAAATAAAATTCTTTGAGACGTCGAATCTAAGATCAAACGGTGAGCGACTCTCTTGATCAAAATTGGACAGCCGGATGGTAGAGGAAACATAGATCTTCTATGTTGTAGGGGAAGTATAGAAACATTTTCCATTTGTTTTATCCAAAATTTGAAATATACACTCTTTTCATTCTAATGAACAATCATACAAAATAAAAATTTGAAAACACAATCTAGAGAGTATTTTTTTAGCCTAATTAACACAGGGCATTCATTTTGGTGAGATGCTTAGATCTAGGCCTTAGACAAATTTTTTCACTTTTCAATTTTTTTGATGGATTTATTGTCATTAGATGAATAATGTTAAAAAAGAAAAGAATGATTTTGAGTTTATAAAGGCTAAGATCTTGAAATTCACTAAATGAATGGTCTAGATTTGTTTTTGG